GACATCAGAAATAGACAGGAAATCAGCTTTACGAAACGGGCAGTACTGAGAAAGACAAAATACATGAGTTACGTCAGGATGCAACGGAAAAATTTGTCTTCGATTTTGCGTATGTGGTGATAATGGAAACGGAGGCATTGCGAATTTCTGATAATCGAGGGTACTTTTGCTTCTGTTGCTGTAATTTAAAACTATTACGAGTTTTTCAAGCATTTTTAGCTATAAGCATCAGCGTTGTCCTGAACTTGTTTATTTTTATGACGAGGTAGGAGAGACATCAATGACGTCATAACACTTGAATATCAACATAAAAGTAGCAAAACACGTTGTTCTGCCCTCGCTATAAATTTAACACCAAGATGACCTCAACGGAAACTATAATTTGAAAATGCAAGAACAATATGTCCTGTGGCGTGTTTTGTAATACTTTTACTATTCAGCAGAAAAGTACTGCAACAGTTCCATCGGGATTGGCACCACGATGGTAGAGTTCTTTTCAGCAGATATTTTTGCGAGTGTCTGCAGATATCGCAGCTGCAGAGCAACCGAATTCTGATCAAGAATGGACGCAGCACGTATCAGAAATTGACTGCATTGCTTCTCTCCCTCAGCAGCTATGAACTTCGCCTTTGCTTTGCGATCAGCTTCAGCTTCTGCAGCCATCACTCGAGTGAGACCGGGCGGAAGATGAATGTCCTTCACTTCAACACGGTCCACTTTCACACCCCACGGTTCAGTTCCTTCATCCAAAACTAGAAACTAGCATTATCGATCATTTACGAAAGTAGCGTCTAGTCATGTACTTGCCTTGTTCTATGAGGTCAGCAATTTGATTGCGTTCCGCCAACATTTCACTAAGCGTCTTCATGCCAAGAATATTTCTCAGCGTGGTTTGCGCCAGTAGCTTTGTGCTATGGAAAGCGTCATTAACGTTGGTCACCGAAATGACCGGACTGAAAATATGGAAACAAACCACTGCTTCAACGGTAACCGTCACTGAATCGCTGGACAATATTTCTTGAGGAGGAACATCGAAAGAAATGACGCGCAAATCGATTTTTTGATACGTATCGATGCACGGCAACAGAAACACCAATCCAGGTCCTCGTGCACCACCAGCAGTCAGCCGACCCAGGCGCATCACAACTGCTCTTTCGTACTCTCGAATAACTTTGACACAGAAAAACAAAGAAAATGGTAAGGTGATTAAAACTATTAGCCAAGAAGTGGCCCATAGTATCCACGCCATACAGCCGGTGATGGATTCGTCTTCGGAAGAAGCCACAACGTTTCTCCATAGCCAGCTGTCAGAGCGGAGTCGCCTAACAGCCCACTTCTTTTGTTCTTTGTCTGACAACATGATCCAGCAAGGACAGGAAGCCTTAAGCCTTCAAGGGCCAAAAACCACTGAAGACGGTTCAAAATGAGTGCCTGAGTAACGTTTCTCCATATCCCTAAAACACGCTATCTGTAACATATAATGAACGGGAAAATGAAGCGAAAATTCTAATAAATAACAGTAAGCCCTGGAAAAGTTGGCTTCGTTCGCGCAACGTTGACGACGAAAGTAATATCGAGGTGCCGGGAAAGGTTGCTGCGAAGAACGATTCAGATCAATGCGGCACCTGCTAAGAGAAAAGACAAACGGCAGCATCTGACAACCCCACATAAAGCTTCGACTTAGCCCAATACAAAAAATACTAAAGAAGAAATGCTGCCTTTCAGCTCTAGTCAATATGTCAATATCTTCGTCGAAAAGATATTAGAGGTGTATGATGCAGTCACCCAAGATTAACCTGGTGCAAACATATGGAAGGGGTCTGTTCCAGACTCCATTTGTCTTTTGCCGAAGCTCAGACTCTGACACAGGATCGGGAACGTTGGAAGC